CAACTTGGTCTTGGATTTTGAACAACTTCGCAACCCGCCAGGAGAGCACTTTTTAGAGGGAAGGTGCCTGAGACTAAGGGGAACAAACACCACCTAACAGCCAGTCAGAGCACCCTATATTTTGGACTGAGGAGCTCCTGAAAGTTGACCGCCCAAAGCACTAAATGCCCTGGAACTGTTAGGCATAGGACCACGTGTGCGGCCGGTCAGAACTTTAACATGGTGGCGTTTCCCCCACACTGCATGGATATGAGCGCAATTTAATTATGTATTATTTGTGGGGTTATTTTATGTTTTTATGATGTTTTGGGGTATTTTCATGTTTTATATTTTTATGTTTGCATCTCTGTTCCTGGGAGATAATTAGCTTATCAGTCTTTAGTGCAATTATCATCTCCCAGGCCCAGAGATTCCTGGGAAGGACTTGTGGCGAAGACAATGGAGACTGCTAGGGTCTGTGTATAAATTGTCTGTACCCTGTCCCATTAAAGTCAGTTCAGTTCACGCCAAGCATATAGTCTCGGCTAATGTGTGAGGGGAAGGCTATATAGCTATACTCACTCTAACAGCTATACTCTCCGGAGGAGAGCGCTGACCACTGGGAGCCAAGCTGCAGCGGCTAGGGGCTGGAAGTGCTTATGGTGTCCCGGCGATAGCTAAGGAGTGTGCATGGCGGAGGTACCCAATCGGGGTACCAGGCGGTCCATCACACTTTCTCCCCACCAGGCTGGGTACACAGTGAGCTCAGGGGGTCCTGGGGCTCATGTGACACTCCCTGTCTGTGGCCCCCCGTGCTTTAAGCCGTTTATCTCATCCGCTACCTGTCAATATGCAGCTCCCAGTGTGCTCCCTCTCCCCTGCAAGGTAATAAAGGGAAGGGGGAGTAAATGTGATTATTTTTTTTAAATTATTAATTAATTATTTAAGCCCCTATCATACCCCCTATATACACACCCCCTCACATATTAGTAGTAGTAGTAGTATATTACTATACCCCTTACATACACACTACAGCCCCTGCACACAAACACACTGCACACACTCTATACCCCTTACATGCACACTACACCCTCAGTACACACACAGTAAACACACTAAATATACACTACACCCCCTGCACTCACACATTTTGTATCCCTATAAACACACACATTACACCCCCTGCTCTCACACACACATGCACAACACACTTTAACATCCCTGTTACACTTTTGTTCTCTGGTGTCTCACTATTGAGGACACCAAAGACAAGTCACTAGCAAACACAGGGCATGCTTACGTTGCACAACTCCTCCCCACCCCCCAAAAGAAATGGGAGGCATGGGGATGTGCTTGTCAATGGTTATAACATAACACGCCCCCTTTCATACCTGGCCCCTCCTAGTGGGCTGCTCTGCCTTTAATTGCCCAGGCTGAATGTTTGTCCCAGTCCGGCCCTCATGTCAGTATGTATGTATGTGTTTGTCTTTATGTATGTCAGTATGTGTGTGTCTGTATGTCCGTATGTGCATATGTATGTGTCTTTATGTATGTCTGTATGTGAGTATGTGTGTCTGTGTATATGTCAGTCAGGACCAGATTAAGAGCCCATTGAGGCCATTTATGCAGGTGGGCCTGGTGCTGACAATTATGATGGGCCTAATTACAGTATCTTAAAAACCTAAAACAGTTACACCTCCCTAGCGTCATTGGTGGTGCTGAAGGGAAACTCACAGGATATAGCTATCAGAAAACACATACCTTATGCTAATCTCTCGCTTTCATCTTTCAAGTAAAACCATACCTCCTAACAGCAGGTCCAGTGAAGCAGGATGTCGGCATAAAAGGGTGGGCCGTTGAAGCAAAAGCTCATACTATACAGTCTGGGACATAAAAAAAAGGTGTATGTAGTGAGTGTGGAAGAAAGGGAACTTGCCACAGTGTTAGAGAAAAGTCAATGGGCCTATTTCATGGGCCTGGAGCTGCAGCTCCATCAGCCCCCTATATTAACAAGTCTATCTTTTCATCAGCAAACCACATGTCTGTTAACCTCAGTTATCTCAGTGCTGAGTTTCTCTTATTTTACTAGCAGTCCCCTGGTTTATTGCCATCAGACCTCTTCTCTCTAATGTCTCTCTCCGGTGCTGGCATACAATGTCACATATACTCATCCATCGTGTGCCCTGGCTGTCACAAACCTTTATATAGGATTTTTAAAAATCTTTATCCCATTTTTAACCAGAGATTGTTGGGTTTATAGGTACTATATGCAAACATTTGTTCACCTATGAAGTTACAAGGGGCAGAAAGGCATTTACAGTCTTATTGTACTCTAATTCCGTAGCTTGAAAACAAGTCATTAGTCCATTGTTTTGTTTACTTTCTTTCTGAAGAGCTCTAGAAACTTTATCGTAAAAACACAACATTGTCTAATTATTGCAGAAACATTTGCTGTCACAGCTTTCCAGATTCGGTTTAAAAGGAAAAAAGCTGTTTGTTTGACTTTTCTCCAAAATGAAACTAGTGCAAAGAAAATACAGAATCCTCAGCTAGTCCCAAGATACACAAACTAAGGAAATATAAACAACTGCCTGTCAGCTATCTATTACTAAAATACCATAATTACGGGACTCCACAAGCAAGGCAAGGTTTTCTAAGTCTAGAATTATAAATCTATTCATTGTTCTCTCAAGTTCCTCAAAGTGGATATATATGTACCAATACTACATAGAATAGAGATATATAGAAATAGAACTGCAATTGTTTATTTTTGAGAGATTGCATAACTACAGGACATAATGCTCATAAATCCCTCAAAAAGCCAACAATATAGGGCAAACTTTGCACCATAACCACTGCCAGCTTCACAAAAACTATGGCTTTCCATGGTACCCATAGCCGGCCTCTTTGGCCATCTTGATGCATGCTGTGAACAAGCTGTGTGAGGGGAGACAGGTGTTGACTGTCCTTAAATAGATTTTAGTTAGCCAAAAATTGTTCCAGGAATTCAAGGCAGATTTAATGAAGATTAGTGTAACAAATACAGCAGCAACGTTTCCACCTTAAGCAAGATCTTTATCAAGTTAACATCACTGTGCAATGATACAAAATATATAGGGAACACAATTAGACAAGTTAATTACAGTGATTGCTAGACATGTGCAATTCGTTTCGTTCCGAATGTGAATTCGGACGAATTTCGGGAAATTCAGACATTCAGATGCTTCCAAATGTTTCAAGTGGTGAATTTCCAAATTTCCGAAGTACCGAATTTTGGAAGTGCTGAAGTGCTTTGGATTTCTGAAAAGTGGCAAAACAAGAGAGGGAGGGAAAATTACTTGATTGATGACAGGAGTAAGGGTAGGGTTACAAGTGGGGGTTGGGATAGGGGTGCAGTTAAGGGTAGGGATAGGATTATGGGGTAGGGATAGGGTTAGGGTAAGGGAGCCCTAAAGATGTTTCGAATTCCGAAGTCCCGAATTGGCAAAGTCCTGAATTGCTGAAGTTCAGAATTGCCAAAGTCCCAAAGTTCTGAATTGCTGAAGTTCTGGATTTCGTAAGTGCCGAACCGAATTGCCGAAGTGACAAATTTGTTTTCGTAACCGAATTTCAGAACCGAACCGAACCAAATATTTTGCCCATGCATATCCGTAGTGATTGCAAAACACACTTACTTAATTGTCAGTATCAGTAATACCGTAATTGGAGATCAACCATTATTCAAAGGCACAATGGCAGCAAATGGCACAAAACTAAGAGCGTTCCTCCGTCAAAAAACATCAAGACACAGAGCGTATATGCGTCCGGAGACATGAATCTGCATCTCACTTCCCTTGCGTGTCTGGATCAATTTTTGGTTAACTACTTATACATTGGGGTTTGCCAACCCCAGAACTGGATCTGCACGCTTGGCTAGTATTGAAGAAGAGTGAATTTACTTATTTCCTAAGTGTTAGTTTGTGTCTGTTAGTGAAAGTGTGTGTATCTATTAGTGAGAGTGTGTGTCTGTTACTGAGTATTAGTGTGTGTCTGTTACTGAGAGTGTGTGTGTGTGTGTGTGTGTGTGTGTCTGTCACTGAGAGTGTATATGTGTTTGTCAGTGAGTGTGTGTGTGTTTGTTATTGAGAGTGCATATGTGTTTGTCAATGAGTGTGTATGTATGCGTGTCTGTCAGTGAGTGTCAGCTGCGACCCTTGCGACCATGGTAGTTCTGCCACTGCATGCGTGTCTTGTCAGTGAATGTGTATGTGTCTGTCAGTTAGTGTCTGTCGTCGGTGAATGTGAATGCATGTGTGTAACTGTGAATGAGTGAGTGTGTATGTCTGTGTGTGTTTCAGTGAAAATGTGTATTGGTTAAACAGTGTGTGTGTGACAATGACTGTGTATCTGTGAGTGTATTTCAGTGCATGCATCAGTGAGGATGTGTGCCTGTCAGGAACAGAAATTTGGAATTGAGGGGGGTGGGGGCTGAGTTTTGTCATGCCTACAGCAGCATAAAACCAGAATACACCGCTGTTGTAGTCATATCAAATAAGGAGCTCGATCTCAATTATTTAAAAAGTATTTTTTCATAGCTTTATTAAGTCAGAAAGCAGAAAATCACAACGTATCAACAGTAGACTTTTCTCAACATACAAATATGGAGCTCACATGTTGTTACCACATTATGGATATGGCATATATATAATTTACCTACTATGGTGACCCTATTTGCCAGGGCCTGTGTTTCAACAAGTTGTATTATACACAATTGTGTTTATGATTTGCATGTGTCTGAAATGCATATCTTGTGAACGTTAACATTTCATAATAAAAAAATAAAATTAAAAAAGATCTCTCTCCCCGCACCACTGCAGGCTTTCACTGCTAGAGAGTGAGCCCGGAAGGCCATGAGTCTGCTCCTCCTCCAGGTCATTCCTATCGCTTGCCAGATCCTCACTCATTTAGCACCCAATTTATGCTCCTTCTACAGAATTATTTATATATTCTTGTTTGGTAAATACTAGATAGAGATTGCTTGTGTATAATCAAAAGGGTGTAGCATTTTCAATGGCAAAATGTTGGACTTGGCATGTGTTCTGCTCACTCTGTGTATTACAAGGGCAAAATATTAGTTGTGAACATTTAATTCCAGCTGTTCTTAACAAATGTACAAAAGATCAAGAACCCCAGACGAAACTGTACATTTCACATATTTAAGGAGGACATTTGAGGCTACATCTCTCATATTTCAGGGAAAACTGTCAAGGACGTAAAATCTGTTAACAAATTTAAAAAAAGAAATCTGTCAGAAATACGATTCCAGTTTCATGCTCTATTCTCTCATGAGATTTCCCTATTAGAAGAGACATTGTTTGGGTAGAATCCAAAGGCAGCATCCGTCCTTGCAACAGAACCATTTTACGAGGATGACCGAAACTGTTAGTCTTCAATTAGAGAGAAGCGTGTCAACGTTCTGACAATAACTTGAGGGAGTTAGAAAAGAAAACTAGCAGCACAGGAGAATATTTGTGGTTGATGGTCAATGCTGATTAGGTGAGGATTTCACATTTTATGTTACTCAATGTCGTCAAAGGTAATGGTGGAATTATAAAATAATCTCTATGCTGTATCATAAGGAGTATTCTCAGAAATACATTTTGTACACGAGAAGAATAATTTGTGCATTCCTGAAAGTTACATTGCTAAATCTTTGAAACTATTTCTTGTAAACCGTAGACATCATACCATAACCACATTCATATAAAAAGCAGTGATATGTACTATAATGCCAGGGAGAGTGCCAATAAAGTTTGAAATGAGCACGGGTTACATAGACAGAGGATGATGGCAATAAGCCTTATGGGTAGAGTTGGGCAAGGGTGTGAGATAGATGGATGCATCAGTCAGACAGTCCACTCAATGAACTGAACACCAGAGACCAACATCCATATTCAGGACCGTGGTGCTAAATACAGGACAGTTGGGAGGTATTCAGTATAACTGTCAGACTTAGTGCCTACTAAGAGCCACAATTAACTATGAACTCATAGACATTATATGGTATCCTCTGATGCTCATTGTGTCTGGATCCCAGCCACCAGCTATGGTTGTGGTGCATCACTACTAACTCCTCAGTTAGTTGACTGCACACCTCTCTGTCCATTGACTCAGAAGTGAAGAGTCTCTGAGCACGCAAGGTTTCGTGTGCATCCTGTGTGTACATGGTCTCTTGCATTAATATTCTCCGAGGATACCTGGAACCCTAGGACCCCTTATTAATTTGTTTTTCAAGGAATTGAGTGTTGAAAAATAAAAATGTCCAATGTTATATAAGTACAGCACTGGCAAATGTGTTGTTGGTTTATTAATAGTAATAATTAATAATATAAACAATCTTTTATAAATTAGTAATAGGTGTCATATGAAACCGGTATGGATTTTCATGCTTTGCTCACTTATTACATCTACCCTTTTATATATATACAATGTTACTCTGTCACTCTGTCAAATTGTCTGTGTGTGTATATATATATATATATATATATTTCCAAAGTAAGTGGATTAATCTCATAAGAGCAAGCATTAGGCTGCTAGAGTAGGACCTGCCAAGAATGGGGTACATTGTTGTTGTGGCAGGCTTATGCAATGTATGATCATATAATGTAACTAAACCCCCATTGTTTTTTGCCTAGGTGAGGGGTTTTTAAATAAAACTATTACAATCTCTAAGATTTGAAATCATTGTTTAGTGAATAATCGAGTGCGCTGGATTTTGTATTTTGTATGTTATACAGTTGCAAGAAAAAGTATGTGAACCCTTTGGAATGATATGGATTTCTGCACAAATTGGTCATAAAATGTGATCTGATCATCATCTAAGTCACAACAATAGACAATCACAGACTGCTTAAACTAATAACACACAAAGAATGAAATGTTGCCATGTTTTTATTGAACACACCATGTAAACATTCACAGTGCAGGTGGAAAAATTATGTGAACCCTTGGATTTAATAACTGGTTGAACCTCCTTTGGCAGCAATAACTTCAACCAAACGTTTCCTGTAGTTGCAGATCAGACGTGCACAACGGTCAGGAGTAATTCTTGACCATTCCTCTTTACAGAACTGTTTCAGTTCAGCAATATTCTTGGGATGTCTGGTGTGAATCGCTTTCTTGAGGTCATGCCACAGCACCTCAATCGGGTTGAGGTCAGGACTCTGACTGGGCCACTTCAGAAGGCGTATTTTCTTCTGTTTAAGCCATTCTGTTGTTGATTTACTTCTATGCTTTGGGTCATTGTCCTGTTGCAACACCCATCTTCTGCTGAGCTTCAGCTGGTAGACAGATGGCCTTAAGTTCTCCTGCAAAATGTCTTGATAAACTTGGGAATTCATTTTTCCTTTGATGATAGCAATCCGTCCAGGCCCTAACGCAGAAAAGCAGCCCCAAACCATGATGCCCCCACCACCATACTTCACAGTTGGGATGAGGTTTTGATGTTGGTGTGCTGTGCCTTTTTTCGCCACACATAGTGTTGTGTGTTTCTTCCAAACAACTCAACTTTGGTTTCATCTGTCCACAGAATATTTTGCCAGTACTGCTGTGGAACATCCAGGTGCTCTTGTGCAAACCGTAAACGTTCAGCAATGTTTTGTTTGGACAGCAGTGGCTTCCTCTGTGGTATCCTCCCATGAAATTACCAGATTTTACTAATTACATGACGTAAAGTCATGATTTTATAAAGGACACGGAGGCGAGTATTAGGCTTTATCTCTTTCTTTATTCCTCAGCAGCAAAGAAAGGATATTGATATTTTTTAATATAGCAATAACAAAAAGAAAAAACAGATACCCTTAAGGGTTAACCATATAACATTCCATATCCATTAACCAATAGGATCAGTCCTTGTACTATATCCCTTCATGTGAGGTAAACTACTTCCTCTTTCTGGCTGACGCCGAAGCTGAACACATCAACAAGGGAAAAACATTTTCTCAAACTTGGATAATCTTTCTTAGGGGTTCCGGCGAATGTTCCAAATAATGTTGAGATATTGGACGATCCCGGTTATGTCATCACAGGGTTAAGCTGTAGGAGACAGAGAGATATATGGTAAAATGTATTCGAATATCGTTGTCATACATATATGTTGTACCGATCCGTAGACAAACGTTTATATCTGAAAACATTGCTTGCGACATTCTAGCATAAATCAGTCTAAATTGCAATCTTACCCTAGAACTTTGATTCTAAACATCCAAAATGCTATAGCTTGTTTATGAGTAAGTGGGTGGGAAAAAAATACATGTACGGCTTACCTTTCAGTGGGCGGGCTAATACTCGCCTCCGTGTCCTTTATAAAATCATGACTTTACGTCATGTAATTAGTAAAATCTGGTAATTTTATTAAAGGACACGGAGGCTCTTATTAGGCTAGTTTAAAGCTGTGATATGACCCTAGACGAGATATGTTCTGTTGGTCTAAAGTAGTATTCCTTAAACGTCGATTCGCGGGACCAGTCAGCTGTGCGGAGGAGGTCTTCCAGTTTACATCCAATGGAGAATGCTTTAGAGGCTATAGCGCCTCTAGTAGAGTGTGCCCCGTAAACGGCTGTGTCGATATTAGCATTTGACATTATCCATTTCACCCAACGTGTCAGAGTTCCCGTGGATACTGGTTGATGAGGTTTTCTCACTGCCAAGAACAAATTATGTGTTGTTGGGTTCCGGAATGGCTGTGTCCGTAATTCATATTCCTGCAGGCATGCTACCGGGCAGAGGTTAGCGTTGTGAGGAAAGGAGGGATAGAAGACTGAAGTGGTGTTCGACTTCGTACGTCTGGTGATATTAAACAGGACACCATCCGGTGTGAATGATCGTGCATCGATGTCTAAGGCCCTCACGTCTGATACCCGTTTGCAGGAAATTAAGCATAGGAGCATCGCCAATTTTGCAGACACTTGCTTGAGTGTGAGGTTCGAGTTTGGGGGCCAATCTTGCAACAACCGAAGGACTATATTCACATCCCATAGGGCCGTGTAACGAGGTTGTGGCGGACGTGCGAATTTTATGCCTCGTAGGAGACGACAGATCCATAAGTGTTTCCCAGCCGGGAAGCCTTCCCAACCAGTGTGCCCAGCTGAAATCGCTGACCTGTACACATTTATGGTGCGATAAGCCAAGCCTTGGTCATAAAGGGTAGTAAGGAAGCCCAAAACCTGGTTTATAGGAGCACGTATGGGATCCACGTGCCGTTCCACGCACCAACTACACCATGTGTTCCAGGCATGAGCATAGGAACGTCTTGTCCCTGGGGCCCAAGCTCCTGCCAATAATTCCAAAGTCGTTTGTGAAACATTCGGCATGGTCCAGGGTCCCCGGAGAGGAGCCATGTTAGGAGTCTGAGATGACCTTGCACCAGAAGTGGATGAGAGTTCCCATCGGGATCTGATAATAATTCCGTGCTCCCTGGAATCAATCTGGGGAGGTCGATTGACATTTCCATGAGGGAAGGGAACCATGGCTGTGCCGTCCAGAACGGTGTTATCAAAACCAACGATGCTCGGGAGCGCTGTAAGTGTAGGAGAGTCCGCGCTATGAGTGAGAAAGGGGGGAAGGCGTATAGCCTGGTGTTCGGCCAATTTTGTAGGAAGGCATCCACTGCCGTGGCGTCTGGGTCCGGTCTCCAGCTGAAGAATGAGGGGAGTTGAGCATTCAGCCGGGAGGCAAAAAGGTCGATGTGCATCGGTCCCCAGAGTTGGTGGAGTTTCTGGAATACTGTGCGATTCAATCGCCATGCACTGTTGTCTCGTAAATGCCTGGAGTGCCAATCCGCTACGGTGTTGGAGAGGCCTGGGAGGTATTCCGCCTGTACGGATATGCTGCGACTCAGGCAGAAATGCCAGAATTCTTTCGCCAAGTTCGTGAGGATTGAGGACCTCGTGCCACCCAAGTGGTTGATGTAGCGGACGGCTGAGACATTGTCCATGCGTAGGAGTATGGAACAATTGGTCGTGTGTCCGAGGAGGCTCCGTAGGGCGAATGACCCAGCCAGGAGTTCCAAACCATTGATGTGGAGTTCTTTTTCTTCGGAAGACCATTTTCCACCTGTAGAGGTAGGACCACAGCGGGCCCCCCATCCCAGTCTGCTCGCGTCGGATTCTATGACTAGATCCGGAGTGGCGCCGAAGATTGCCTTGCCGTTCCATGCTTCCATGTGTTGAAGCCACCATGCCAGTTCCTCTTTTGCCGCGCAGTCTAGAGGTACAGAATCTGAATAGGAGTGACCCAAGCGTAGGTGGGTTGCCTTGAGTTGTTGTAGGGATCTGTAGTGGAGAGGGCCTGGGAAGATCGCTTGTATAGAGGCCGAGAGCAGGCCAATTATCCTGGCTAGCTGTCGGAGGGTTAAGACTGGTCGAGCCAACGTCCTCCGGATTTCCTTCTTGATAAGTTTTACTTTTGCGGTAGGAAGACTGAGCGTTCCGTGTACTGCGTCTATATCGAAACCCAAAAACTCTATCGAGTGTGAAGGTTGTAGGATCGATTTGTCCCAATTGATTAGGAAACCTAGGTTTTGTAAAAGGGTTACTGTCCAGAATAGGTGTTGATTCAGTAGCTGTGTGTCTTGGGCCATGATCAGCATGTCGTCGAGGTATATGATCAGACGTACACCTCTGCTGCGAAGGAGGGCAACTACCGGTTTCAGCAGCTTGGTGAAGCACCACGGGGCTGAAGACAGGCCGAAAGGGAGGCAGCGGAAACGCCACATCGTCTGGTCCCATTGGAATTGCAGGAATTGTTGACAGTCCTCGGCAATCGGTATTGTGAGGTATGCATCCTGGAGGTCCAATTTTACCATCCAGTCTCCCAGTCTTAATAGGTCTCGGAGGCAGTGTATTCCTTCCATCTTGAAGTGATGGTATGTGACAAAGGCGTTGAGAGGCCGCAAGTTTATTACTGGCCTCATGCCCCCACCTTTCTTGGGTACTAAGAAGATGTTGCTTAGGAACCCGGGGGCGGTAATGGGAACCCTGTATATCGCACATTTTTTCTCCAGTGCGTGAATCTCTTTTAACACTAGCTGTTTGTCTAGTGGGGAAAAAATAATCCGATGTGGCAATGAGAGTTGAATCGGCTGTTGTGTAAATTCGATGTGATAGCCGAGGATGGTCTCTAGGACCCATGTATCTGAGGTTAGGTTGTGCCACGCATCCTGGAATTGAAACAATCTGCCCCCCACAGGTACAAAGGGAATGGTGTGTAATGTGGAGTGACTCACCATAAGGCCGACGGCCATAGGAGGATCCCCTGGTTCCGCGTGGATGCCATGATCTGCCCCTGGTCGGGAAGAATGGTGATTGTGCCCTCGGTTCGGGTGGGTGGAACCGGGTTGTGGCGGAGCCTCGATAGCCCCGGAACTGAGTCCGGGAGGGGCGGCCGGACAGACGGCCCCGCTGTCTGCCGGCCCCCCCGAAAACCTTTTGCGAGAACACTCGCTTCATATTATGTTGTGCCTTATCTAGTGCCGTAAATGTGTTTACGTAATTACCCAGGGTCTTAACAAAATTGTCTCCAAATAAGAGACCTTTTGCCTGTGTGCCAGGCTCGGAGATTGCCAAATGCACTAGTTTTGGCTCGATTTTCAACAATATGGCTTTACGCCGTTCCGTGGCCAATGCGGTGTTGGCATTTCCTATTAGGCATATGCCCCTCTGAATCCAGCCTCTGATGGCCATCAAGTCAATTGGGGTCCCCCCAGTAAGGGCCGCTTCGACCATATCGAAGATTTTAGCTATAGGCCCGAGTATGTCCAGGATCTTGTCCTGGCAGTGTTTTAAGGAGTAGTCCAAACCCTTCTTGGCCCTCCATCCTGACTTACCCAGGAACTGGGCGACTTTGGGATCCACTTCAGGGGTCACGCAGGCCATGTCTGGGACAGTGGGCCTTGGGCATTCCGCCCTTAGTTTGTTTCTTGTGGCCTTGTCGAGGGGTTTTCTGACCCTAGTCGCAATATAAACGGCCACATGAGTCGTGGGATACCACTCCGCTGAACGCGGATTGTGTAAGGTATCGGGATCAAAAAGGGGTTCCCCTTGGGGGTCTAACACAGCGGACTCATCCGTCTCGCGCTCCGCGTCTAGAGCTGGAGGCGCGGTGTCGCTGCGTTCGGGGGATGAATTGTCAGAATTAATTGGGTCGATGTCATCGGACCCATCTGATACCTCCTCTGAGTCCGAGTCGGAGTCGGACGGATCAGATAGGGCTTTTGCCCTCTTCCAAGTCCGCACCGTTTTTGCCCGGCGGGGGGCTCTTTTACGTGGGAGCACCACGTCATCACTCTCAACAGGGCGCAACCTGTCCGTCTTAGTATTTCTGGAGGTAGCACCTGACAGGTGGTGCGATTTACACGTAGCCTTGCGGCCGCTAGGGACCATTGGCTTGCTATCACTGGATATAGGGGGTGCCGAGCCCGGGTTGTGACCGGATGCCCTAATAGCAGAGGAAATGGAGTGGGACAGGGTGTCCGACATCGCCCCCATGGCAGTAAAAATGGCCTGTGTGACAGACCTACTCATCGTGGCATCCAGGAGCGCCTGGAACTCCTCTGAGTTCACGTGCTCCTGGGATGCGTCCCCAACTCCCCCAATGACAGCAGCGTCTGTAGACATGGCTGTCTTATCACGTTTGCTGGGTTTAGTAGAGGTGGGAGGGGGGGTAACTGTCTGCTTATCAGCAGGGGACTGCATAGTGATCAGGAATGTGCACAGTAGCAGTATAGGGAGAAAGGTACTGAAATAAAACAGTCACTTTTGGACCAAATGCACACTGGCAGCACTGCAGAGGTTAATATACCGGCAGTATAAGGTAAGTGGCTGAGCACTAGACTAAAAGTAAAGGCAGGCACAGTTCTACAAGGCACAAGTATTCTGGCACATATAATATGGCAGCTTACCGAGTGTTCCCTCAGGAATGACTCCTGGGGGACACTGGAAAGCTGCCCAACACTTCCCTCACCCAATCAGCTCGCGCCCCTCCCTGTCAGAGTGGCGCGGACCGCGGGCGAAAAGAGCGGCAAAATTGCCCTCAGTTAAGATGGCCGCCGCGATGCGCGAGTGTAGACCGCGCATGCGCGAGCGGCGGAAACGGCCGCCACAGTAACAGCCGCCCGTCCGGCGGCAAAAACGGCTCGTTCTGGGCCGGAGGGGGTGAGGGGGGGGGAGGGGAGGGGATGCCTGAGCGACCCCCACCCGGGGAAGTGAAAGGAGGAACGGGTTATAAACAACCCGAAAAACGGCAGTGCAGGATGGGGCTTGCCTCAGGGAGGAGGCAAGCACCCTGCACTGGGAACAGGAGGAAAAGCAAACCTCAGTAAAATACACAAACAAATGAAAAATAATAGACACAAACAAAAACAGCAGATATACCAAAGAAATAAATAAATAAATAGTAATATGAATCTAAACAACACAATATTTGAGGAGCTGAAAAATATGTGGTACTTAGCTGAGGCAGCAGCAAAGAAAGAGGAAGTAGTTTACCTCACATGAAGGGATATAGTACAAGGACTGATCCTATTGGTTAATGGATATGGAATGTTATATGGTTAACCCTTAAGGGTATCTGTTTTTCTTTTTTGTTATTGCTATATTAAAAAATATCAATATCCTTTCTTTGCTGCTGAGGAATAAAGAAAGAGATAAAGCCTAATAAGAGCCTCCGTGTCCTTTAATAAAATCCATTCTTGTTTAGTGCTTTACGTATTGTAGATTCGCTAACAGGGATGTTAGTATTTGCCAGTGACTTTTGTAAGTCTTTAGATGACACTCGAGGATTCTTCTTCACCTCATTGAGCAGTCTTCGCTGGGCTCTTGCAGCTATCTTTACAGGACGGCCACTCCTAGGGAGAGTAGCAGCAGTGCTGAACTTTCTCCATTTATAGACAATTTGTCTTACTGTGGGCTGATGAACAGCAAGGCTTTTGGAGATACTTTTATAACCCTTTCCAGCTTTATGCAAGTCAACAATTCTTAATCGTATGTCTTCTGAGAGCTCTTTTGTGCGAGGCATCATTCATATCAGGCAATGCTTCTTGTGAAAAGCAAGCCCAGAACTGGTGTGTGTTTTTTATAGGGCAGGGCAGCTGTAACCAACACCTCCAATCTCATCTCATTGATTGGACTCCAGTTGGCTGACATCTCACTCCAATTAGCTCTTGGAGATGTCATTAGTCTAGGGGTTCACATACTTTTCCACCTGCACTGTGGATGTTTACATGGTGTGTTCAATAGAAACATGGCAACATTTCATTCTTTGTGTGTTATTAGTTTAAGCAGACTGTGATTGTCTATTGTTGTGACTTAGATGATGATCAGATCACATTTTATGACCAATTTGTGCAGAAATCCATATCATTCCAAAGGGTTCACATACTTTTTCTTGCAACTGTATATATATATATATAAAGAGAGAGAGAGAGAGATCCTTTTTGATCCTAAGGAAAGCCCAACGTGGGGCTGAAACGTTGATCATTTTAATGTATACCCAATAAAGTACTTTGATTTTTAAGAAGACAGTGGAGTGCAGCCTTACTTGTGGACACTCTATGTGATTCAGCCT